ACGTGGCCGGGTACGATTTTATCGAGCCCTATGGTGGCCGGGCTTATTTTACCGAGCCTATTATGGCCGGGTACGATATGATGATGATGATGCCCACAGAGGCGAATGTTTCAAAGGTTTATGTATTTATACATATATATCATGCCTTTCATGTCAGTAGCCCTCAGAGGTACTAAGATGTTACAGGTTGTATATTCTCTATCCTTGCTTACATTACTGATCGTATTTATGGTTCCCTGCCTTAGATACTCAGTACTTTATTCGTACTGACGTCCTATTATTTGTGGACGCTGTATGTCGTGCTGCAGGTCTTGATAGATAGGCAGGTGCAGCTCCCCCACCACAGTAGGCTGTCCAGTTTAGCGATGATTGGCGAGATCCCTTCTCCGGACTTGCCTTGGTCTTGGTATGCATTTTTGTTATAGACATTATGGGTATGTCGGGGCCCTATTCCAGCTATGTTGTAGCACTTATGTTCATTTAGAGGCTCATAGACAAGTGTCGACTCATGTATAGTTTGGTATGCCTTGTCGGCTGGTTTTTGTTATATAGTCTTTCATGGTAGCGTGTAGCTCATACCTTATATGTAGTTTCTTGATTGTCTGGTCATCCCCTACTATGTATGTTCATGCCGTCATATTTTATTGCTGGTTGTCCATGATCCAGGTCTACCATTTATATTGATCTCGTCAGCCCTAAAAGATAATAATGAAGGTTATATGAAATGTACGTTGGTGCTCGGCAAGTATGGTCGGGTGCTAGTCATGGCCCTCCAGTTTGGGTCGTGACATTCTGCTTCTTCCTTTATAGTCTATTTGAGTGTTCTGCTTCCTTGTCTTCCGGAATTGTATTGCAGCAATTCTAGGAGTCTGTTCCTTGTGAGGCATATACATCTAAGAGAATTACCCAAGGGTTGCCTCATGAATCCAACTTAGAATGGTAGCTAGATTCATCTTTATTCCTTACGAATTGCTTTCCTTCAATCTTCCTTGATTTGAGACAATTTTGGCTGATTGCTTTCTTCATTCCAATCTTAGCGGATTGCTTCCTTCTTGAGCTTCTGCAGAATCTTCTAGATTTGATTGCTATTCATGATTTACTCTATTCTTGCGCGCTTGAGGATCTTGGTCAATACTGATTGATTCCCTTCTTCTTAGGCTTGATTGATGTACTTTCCATGCAAAGAGAGGTTCAAGATATTTAGTTGTTGAATAGATCATCTTTCCTATTAGCAATGCTGTTGCTTACCAGAATCTGCGTACACGAGTATATCATTAGTCAAAGCTTTTTTTAGGATTATTGATCATTATTAAAATTCTAAACTTAACAATATCCCTCTTTTTTATGATGACAATAATCTTAAAAAGAGTTTGACTAATTTATGGATTCTTCCCCTTTTCTAATGTGCTCTCCATGTCTGGTGTGCTCCCCCTATCTTCAAGCTGGTTCTTGTGTGTTGTTTTTCTTTCTTCTCCCCCTCTGACATCAATCAAAAAGAACAAGAGAAGCAATGTGCAATAGTAGTTCTAACTAGGCAGGCAAAAGTTATTTACAACTAAGAAGTTATAGGGAGCATAGTCGACTAACATGCTCATCCAAGACACAACCAAAATAGATAGTCTTAAACCACCACATAAAATAGAAAGAGTAAAAAGGTTGTCTTAAGCATCCAATCATTCAATTCCTTCCAATGAAGTACTTCATGGTGTTGATCACTTTAGTGCATAAGCTATCATAAGAGGCATCAATATCTTTGCTGACTTTGGTCATCTTCTCAATGACATCCTGCATGGCCCTGATTCCTTTCCTCCTTGTAGCTTGGAGAGTGATCCTTAGCTTACCACGTCTGCTCCAGTTTTCTTGGTTACTTCCCTGATCTTATCTACATGCTCCTGCATAGAGGTTGGTAATTCCTTGATACCTGCAATGTTTTGCTGCATCAGCATCAGCTGGTCTGAGGAGAAGGATATGTTGGTTTCAGATTTGATCCTCCCACTATTCTGAGTAGGGATGAGCTCTGGTGCTTTGTCTTTCTTAAGCCAAGTTCCCTTAATCAAGGTATACCCCATCATGGCAATGACAATCTTGTCATAGGTGCTGGAGATAGTTTTAGGAGCATAGAGAGACAGATCTACTTTAATGACTTTCAAAATGTGAGAGATTCGTAAACCTTAAGGCAGTGTTCTCGCAGAAGATGAAACATCCATGATACTTCTAAGTATGTACTATCGTATCCAATCAAACCAATTGATAATTTTACCATTCACCAAACAATATAGAACGAATACATCTCTGAGAGACAGAGTACTCAGTGAGCCACTACGAGGTAGCAGAGTTGTTGCAATATATGGGCTAAAACACGATGTTCAAACTTCAAGTTCTTTGGTCTTATATCAGGGACGCGGTAGAGGGGGGTGGGTTCAGACAGTACACTCTTGGCCTCTTCTAAAGATACTTCAAAATTATCTGGCCAGGAATGTTGCACAAAGAAATTGTATCCAACAAACTTTGTAGCAAAGATTTTCTCAAACTGATAAGAATCAAGGATAATGCAAGTTCCTAAGACCATGGATTCTAGATCGGCTTTATCATTCACAAACAATTTTGCATAAAACATACGCACATGTTCTTCATAGATAGAATCACCAATAATAGCAGATTGAGAGACAAGTTTCTGAGTTTCAAAAATAGACAAAACATCATAGTGAGAATTTTGCATAGACTTTAAAGTTACAGTATGACCAAAATCAATCGATTTCCCTTTGCAGGCAGCAAACCTAGCCGTCTCTTCAGGGCCATAGAAATTCATCTTGTCTTCAGGACCAAACTCTACACTTCCAATTTTTCTCTTTTTCTGAGAGGATTGTTTGGGGATGGACTCCATTGATCGTTTTCCTGCCCTCTTTTGGGAGATGAGGATGTCTTCTTGAGAGCTACTCGAATCTTCATCTGTCAGTAAGTGATCTGTGCTTTCATAGGATTCGATATCAACAGGGTCATCTTTGGTTTTCTTGAACCGGTGGCTTCTTCTGGGTATGGAAGAGGAAAGAGAGGGTTTGGTTTTAGCCATGAGTAGAAGAGGACAGAGGCATAAGAGTTTGGTTTCTTTGACAGAATGAGAGATATACTCGAGGGAAGAGGGGTTAAAAAGAATTAAGAGAGGTCGCCTCAATTCCTAGAGAGACGTATGAAAGTCAATTGAAAAGTTGCCTTATGCAAAACCTGCCGTACGTTCATAATAAATGCATGTGTAGACTAATCAAGTACTTAAAAAAAATTTTGGGGCGAAAATAACGAGATATATGGAAATAAACTAAAGCAATGATGGAAAACATTAAACAAAGTTATGAGGGAATTGTACAAATACCATTTTTTTTCAGAAGGAAACAAAATGTTTCTTCAAGTAAAAGCTTTGTAAAAATATATGCTAACCGATTTTCAGTGTTTAAAATTCTAGCATAATATCTCCTTTAGCAACATGATAATACATAAAATGATGCTTAATCTCAATATGTTTAGCCCTAGAATGATGCACAGAGTTTTTTGATAAACAAATAGCACTAGTATTATCACACATAATAGGAACAAAATTAAGGCATAAATCATAATCTAATAGTTGATGCATGATCCATAGTACTTGTGTGCAATAGTTGCCTACTACCAAATATTCCGCCTCTGTGGTGGATAGGGCCACACAACTTTGTTTCTTGCCGTGCCAGGATATAAAGGATTTTCAAGTAATTGGCATGTTTCACTTGTGCTTTTTCTATCAAGTTTATCTCCTGCAAAATCTGTATCTGAGGTCAAAACTTTCTAAATTTTCATACCATAAACCATAGTCGACTGTCCCTATCAAATATCTGATAATACGTTTAACAACAATCAAGTGAGATTCTTTAGGAGCCGACTGCTATCTAGCACATTTGCAAATGCTAAACATAATATCTGGTCGACTAGATGTAACATAGAATAATGATCCAATCATACCTCGATACATTATTTCATCAACACTCTTACCGTTTATGTCTTCATCCAAAGTGGTTGATGGACTCATAGGGGTTCCTACGACCTTTGCATTAGTCATACCAAATTTTTTGATGAGTTTTTTCATATACTTTGTTTGACAAATGTAGGTCCCTTTCGGTACTTGCTTGATTTGAAGTCCAAGGAAGAAAGTTAGTTCTCCCATCATACTCATTTCAAATTCTCTTGTTAGGATGTTTGAAAAATCCTTGCTCAAAATAGGGTTAGTACTGCCAAAAATAATATCATCGACATAAATTTGTACAATTAAATTACCTAGAGAAGATCGTTTGATAAAAAGAGTGGTATGATTATTACCTCTGTCGATCCCATGTTCAACCAAAAATGAACTAAGCCTTTCATACCAAGCTCTGGGAGCTTGCTTTAGGCAGTACAATACTTTGCACAATTTGTAGACATGATATGGAAAGGATTTATTTATAAATCCTGGAGGTTGCTTAAAAAGGACTTTCTCAGAAATGAATCCGTTTAAGAAGACACTTTTCACATCCATCTGAATAAGTCTGAAACATTTATGAGCAACATAGGCTAATAGAATGCGAATTGATTCTAACCTGGCATCAAGTCCAAGGTCTCTTCATAATCAATTTCTTCTTGTTGTAAATAACCTTTTTGCAACTAGTCTGGCTTTATTTCACACTACTTGTCCATATTTATTCAACTTATTTCTGAATACCCATTTTGTTCCAACAATGGATGCATTTGGCGGCTTAGGAGTGAGTTCCCATACTTTGTTTTTCTCAAATTGAACAAGCTCTTTCTTTATTGTAGTTATCCAGCTTTTGTCCCTAAGTGCCTCGTCTACCTTTTTTTTTGGTTCAAACTGATATGAGAGCAATATTCGATGTCTACTTTAGTGATCTTCTAGTTTTCATTCCTTCCTATGGATCTCCAATGATATACTTATGTGAATATCCATACTCACTCTTCCATTCATATGTGACAACTAATGTTGGCTATTTTCCGACAGAATTTGTTGGATCGATTGTAGTAGACTCCTGATTTTCTGAAAGATTCATAGTCGACTGATCCTGTTGATCAGTCTTTTGTTCAGGAGTGATTTTACCTGTATTGATAGACTTTGGCACTATGGAAATTTCCTCATATTCAGGAAGTTTTTCATTCCTTGGGCGAGGGTTAGTGTCTACAAAGACAACATGAATTGATTCTTCAATGAATAATGTTCTTTTATTGTAAACTCTATATGCTCTACTTAAGGGAGAATATCCAAGAGAAATACCTTCGTCGCTCTTTGGATCGAGCTTACCCAGATTGTCCTTTCCATTATTATGAATGAAGCATTTGCATCTAAATGGGTGAAAATATCTGATGTTGGGTTTCTTACTGTTCCATATGTTAATAATATGACATGCCGTGCTCACAGCTTTTGCCTAGAAGTGGTGGGGTAGAGAGTTTTCCATAATCATAATTCTTGCCATGTCCTGCAACGTTCTATTTTTATGTTCTACCACTCCGTTCTGTTGAGCTGATCTTGGAGAAGAGAAGTTATGAGAGATTCCTTGATCATTGCATAAGTTTTCAAAAGCCCTGCTTTCAAATTCTCCTCCATAGTCACTTTTGATAGTGGAAATGTAGTAACCTTTCTCACATTGAACCTTCTTACAAAAAACTTCAAAATTCCTTAGAGCTTCATCTTTATGACTTAGAAAAATAACCCAAGCGAAATGAGAGAAATCATCTAAAATAACAAAAACATATTTTCTACCACCAATGCTAGCAGTTCTAGTTGGACCAAATAGGTCCATATGCATGAGTTGAAGAGGTTTAGTAGTAGAGACAATATTTTTGATGTTGAAAGAAGAACAAGTTTGTTTACCTAATTGACATGCATCACAAAATTGATCATTTGAAAAATCTAGTTTTGGAAGACCAATGAGAAGATCATTTTTGGGGAGTTTTTGAATAGTATGCATGCTAGCATGGCCAAGCTTTCTATGCCATACCCAGGGATCATCAATCATAGATGCTAGACAAATTTGATTATCAAGATTATCTACATTACTGATAGTATAGATATTTCTGTCTCTATTACCAGAGAGAATAACTTTACCCGATTCGTCTTCTATAAACCAACCATGTTTCTTAAAACGAACCTCATAGTCATCGTTATATAGTTGACTAATACCGAGAAGATTGTAACTAAGTTCATCAACCATGTATACTTTATCTACATCACATGTTGAGATGAGGGGAACCTTTCCAACTCTAGTTATGTTTCCTTTTGATTTATCTCCAAAGGTGCTGTTCCTCCATCTAGATTGGTGACCATTTTGAATAACTATTTATCACCAATCATATGTTTGGAACACGTGCTGTCAAGATGCCATTTTCCTTTGAGATTCTTCTTGCGGTGTTCCTACAAAAAAAGATTACCTATTTTTAGGTACCCAAGCCTGCTTAGATTTCTGAGTATTAGCTTGACTGAAAGATTTAGGTCGCCAAACCCATCTCCTTTTGTCCTTGAACCTGAAACGGTTAGACGTGTGCCCAAGCTTTCCGCAATAGAAACAAGAAGGATTATTGGGATTTTAGAGCCTCTTTCTTCTCTAATTCTATTCCTGCATTGGTTAGTGTTATGACCATTTTTGCCACAGTAGGAATATGTAGTAGGATTTCTAGTCCTAATCAAAGATATGTGAGGAACAATCTGATTTGATTTGACAGAACTATGACTGGTGGATTTTTGCAATCTATTCAGTTGAAGTTGAAGTCCATTAACTTCATCTTGAAGCATATCACGCTCAATTTCATAAACTTCCAACTTCAAAGCCCAGTCTTTATTTTCTCTTTTGATTTTTCTGAGTTCATTTAGAACTCTCTCAATATCTGCAAGAGCAATATCAACAAACTCTTGAAGTTCATAACAATTAGGACATGTAGGAAGACGTACCTCACTAGTTCTTTCGTCTGCCATAAGACCAAGTTCACATGAGTCTTCTTCATCATCCATTCTTTTGTCTGCCATGAGCCCAAGTTCACCTGAGTCCTCATTGCTGTTTTCTTTTATGGCCATGAAACACATATTTGCAATTTTTTCATGGTCAGATTCCTCTTCATCACTCCAGGCTCCAAAAGACTTTTTCTTTTGAAAGTTCCTGTTGAGTTTCTTCTTCAATTCGGGGCATTCAGCTTGAATGTGTCCATGTTTCCCACATTCATAGCACCTTCCATCATTTTTGTCATTATCATTATTCAACCTTCCATTTCTAAAGTTTGTTTTACCTCTCCTACTGTTTCTATTTTGCCTCATCATGCTTGTTACAATTTGAGTGAGCATGGATATGTTTTCATCTTGTTCTCCTCCTTCTTCTTCCTCGTCATTTCATGGTTCAGCCACAGTCGCTTTGAATGCAACTATTTTCTTCTTTTCTTGTTGAATCTACATGTCCATATGAGTTTTCTCGAAGGCAATTAGATCACTTCTAAGTTCATCATAGTACATTTTGTCAAGATCCTGACACTCTAAAGCAATAACTTTGGGTTACCAAATCGTGAGAAAACTTCTTAGGATTTTTCTGACATGTTCTCCATTTTTTATTGGTTTACCAAATGACTTTAAGTCTCCAAGGATTTAGCTGAATCTTGTAAACATTTCCTCTACTGATTCTCCATCCTTCATTTGAAGTAATTCATAGTCCCGAACAAGGAGATTGATCCTTGTTTCTTTCAGTTTGTTGGTTCCTTTATATGTGACCTCTAATTTATTCCACATTTCCTTAGCAGTTTCATAGCTTGATATCTTTTCATATTCTTCTCCATTGATAACATTGTATAACAGATGTTTTGCTTTGGTATTCATTGTTACAACGACTAATTGCTCATTAGTGTAGTCATCTAAGTCAAGTGGATCAGTTGATATTATGACTTGACCATTTTCATCTTTCTTTCAGAATTGGAAGATTTCTCTTTTTGATCACACACCAAACTTTAATGTCATATGACATAGTGTATGTTTTCATACACACTTTCCAGTGAGAAAAGTGTTACCTGTTGAAATATGGAGGTCGTACATGAGAGGTTCCTTCTTGAAATAGTACTCCAATAACTGTGTTAGATCCCATGATCTTTTCCTCACTAGCTGTTAAGTAAAGTTTGTGAGCCTTGCTTTGATACCAATTGAAAGTACATGAGGGAAGGGTGAATTATAGGCAATTAAAATCTTGGTTGACTAAGTGTGAATTTAGTCGACTAGGTTTTGCACAGTGAACAATTTCAATAGGAATGAAGTAAGCTAATAGAAAGGTAAAGAAGACACAACAATTTTTATACTGGTTCAGTATCTGTGTGGTACCTACGTCTAGTTCCCTTGGGTCATAAGAGTTCACTTAGATCTTTGATAAAGGATTACAAAGGTGATGGTTTTAGTTCATTCACCATCAGCGATATTCAACAACAATGATTTTTGTAATATTGACACAACTTTCTTATATTCTAATTCTTCCTATCTTTTGTGATACTTGAAGACTCAAGAATACAACGTTTGTACTAAGAACTAGAAAGGCTTAGAAAACAGTTTTTGTAGTTGCATAGCTTTCTAAGTTCTTCTGCTTCTTCCTTTATAGCCTTTTTAAGTCTTCTGCTTCCTTGTCTTCCAGAATTGCATTGCAGCAATTCTAGGAGTCCTTTCCTTGTGAGGCATATACATCTAAGAGAATGAATCAAGGGTTGCCTCACGAATCCAGCTTAGAATGGTAGCTAGATTCATCTTCATTCCTTACAAACTGCTTTCCTTCAATCTTCCTTGATTTGAGACAATTTTGGCTGATTTCTTTCTTCATTCGAATCTTGGCGGCTTGCTTCCTTCTTGAGTTTCTGTAGAATCTTATGGATTTGATTGCTGTCCGTGATTTACTCTATTCTTGCACGCTTGAGGATCTTGGTCAATACTGATTGATTCCCTTCTTCTTAGGCTTGATTGATGTACTTTCCATGCAAAGAGAGGTTCAAGATATTTAGTCATCGAGTAGATCATCTTTCCTTGCTTACCAGAATCTGCGTACAAGACTATATCATTAGTCAAAGCTTCTTTAGGGTTATTGATCATTATTAAAATTCTAAACTTAACATGATTAGCATTGAGAATTGAGATACTACAGAAATTACTTAATGAAAAAACTAACTTTAAGGAAAGTTTGTATTATCTCTGTGGTTAAAACTAAACTAGTTCGTACCGATAATCTATTTATTGTACTAATAGAGTTCTACTTAAATGCCTCTTGGATACAATATTAAAACACAATATCTTGATTATATTGTGTGCAATATAATCCTAACCCTACACACATAGAAAAGAACGAAGTATCTTGCCTATCAAAAAAATTCTAAAGTAATTTAGAGTTGGTTGAAAAAAATAAATTTAAAAAAAGGCTAAGGAAAATGGTTGTACCTACCATGAATTCTCTTTCTCTCTTTTTCCTTCTTTACTTTAAACATGACAACTTATAAGCTACAGACTCGTTTAACATAAGGATTCTTTAATTAAAATACAACTATAAAAAGGAAGGTGACTCCTTTTAAAAGAATCTCAGGTTTCTATGTGTCACGATCCAATTTTCCACTATATGCCATGATGACAACCAACGTCACCGCTAGGTAAGCCAACAATGAACTACCCATTAAATTTTATTTTAATATTTTTAAAGTCTTTGATTTTTATTTACTGCAGAAACAAATAGTAAGTGAGCATAGTAATGTAAAGTATAAACTAAACAGGGAAGTAAGATAGTAAATTAAGTAATCAAATCCCATGAGTGTATACTAGAATCTCCAAAATTCGGTGTCACAAGTGCACGAGCATCTCGTAGAGTATACAAAACTATTTGAGAACTACTGTTTGAAACAAAAATAGACAGAATTGATAAATCATAACAAGAGGAGGATCCAAGTGCTGCAGAATGGAACATGGGAAATTAAAGTAGCTCACCACTAAGCCTCCAGGTAATGCGGATATGCACCCGGACAAACTCCAGATGCACCAACTTCAGAACCTGCACAATATATGCAGCAGTGTAGCGTGAGTACATAAATAATATGTACCCAATAAGTATCTAGTTTAACTTCGAAGAAGTAATAATGAGGGATCGACTTCGACGCTTACTAGTGGGAAATTTACAAGACTATTTAATAGGCATAAAATACATCATCAATGATGGAATAAAAGGCAATATTTAAAGACCATTTGTGAAAATAGCAATTAAAAGTCCCCAAGTATCACATACTAATCTCAACAATTAAGGGTTCAACATATACTTATAAATCTTCAAGTCACGAAAGACATATCAAGTGTAATCGGACTCCGAGTGACAACATACACGAGTTATGTCGAGGTCGTACAGTCCGATCCATAAATGCCTTCCATAATACGCCGAGGAGTTCGGCCCGATCCAGAAGACTAGGGAAACTCTTCGGATTTCGAATTGCATATTTACAACTCCAAGGTAAGCCCATGAAAGAATATAATTTTCATCAAAAATTAAATACTCCACCAACTCTCTAAGCAATGAAGCTCAATTAAACATATTCTTTAGCCAAGTTTTGCTTACTAATACAAGAAATTAAACTAGCAAGTTGAGTCCAAATAGTACAAGTAGTGGCATAATAAAGGCCTATGTCTACCCAAACATAACATGAATTTTAGCTACGTACGGACTCTAGTTACTTCATGTATACGTAGCACCCACAATTTGTAGCAAATAACAATTAACAATTTAAACACCTATGGGGTTAATTCCCTCTTACAAGGTTAGGCAAGAGAATTACCTTATTTCCAAGTCCACTTTCTAGTCCACAAATCGCTCTAAAACCATCAAGTTGGTGCCAAACAATCTGAAACTAGCCAAAGGTTGTACAAACTAATCAATAATTGCTCAAAAATTCATAATTTAACTATTAGAGTGATTATCCAACCCAATTTTGAAGATTCCTAAACTTCACTCCCGGACCCACGTGCCCCGGACTCTAGATATTTTTGAAGAATGCTACCTACGACCTCCCGAACTCAAATATATAATTCATTCCAATTTCCATAACCAAATCCATGACCAAATCTCAATTTTACTCAAACCCTAGGTTCTTCACAAAATCCCACAAGTTTCACCAATTTTCCACATTTAATCTAACTATAATTCGCTATTTAACTTAAAAATGGATAGAGTTTACTTACTTTGTGATGTTGATGAGAATCCCCCACATAAATGCTCTTAAAATCATCCAAGATCAAGTGAAAGTGTGTGAAAAATATGCTAAGTCTCGAATTAAATGCCCTCCACTGCCCAACGATACCCGTTTCTGTGGCCTAACAATTGCACCTGCGGCCTGTACCTACAGAAAAATCCATCGCAGGTGAGGTCCTAACTTAGGCCAGCTCTCTTCGCTTATGCAGACAATGCTCGCTTCTGCGAGCCCGCTTTTATGGAAAATTGATCGCGCCTGCGGTCCTACATAATCCCCTCACAGTTCCGCTTCTGCAGAAGAAAACTCGTGCCTGCGGAAGCGCATCTACGCCCAAGTGTTCGCACCTGCGAACCCAGGCCTGGGCTGGCCACCTCCACTTCTGTGATGAACAACGCGTGCTTGCGTGTCCGCACCTGCGACCAAACCCTCCACAGGTGCAAAGCAAAACAGTAGCAACTTCAGCCAAAACAACTAAGTCCAAAAAAATGCTCTGATTCACCCCGGGCCCCCCCTCCAAATATACCAACAAGTTCCAAAATATATAACGGGCCTACTCGAGGCTAAAATCACATCAAACAATATCGATTCTACGAATCACAAGCCAATTTAAGCCTATCAAAACTATGAACATCCGACTTCCAAAACTAAGGCAGAATCATACCAAAACAACTCTTACTGACCTCAAATTTTGCACAAAAGTCATAAATGACACGACGGACCTACACCCAGGCTCGGAATCTCAAACGGACCTCAATAACACCAAAGTCTACCCTAAACCAGATTTAAAGAAATAGAAAACCTTCAATAAACCAATTTTCAACATCAAGGGCCGAAATACTCTCGGATCGCTCGAAACCCGATCCGAACACACGCCTAAGTCCAAAATTATCACACGAACTTGTTGGAACCATCAAATACCGATTCCAAGTTCGTTAACTCCAAACGTTGACTCAAATCAAACTTGACCATCATAGGCCACTATTAAGGAACTAAGTGTTCCGATTTCAACCCGAACCCTTCCAAACCTAAACCAACCATCCCCGTAATTCATAAAATAGTAAAAGTACATATAGAGAGTTT